TGTATATATATATATATATATATATATATATATATACAGTTAAATAAAAAATTAAATTATGTATATTCATTTTATATATATTTTTAGTTAATTGTGTATATTAATTACATAAAATATATTTAAATAAATAATTAGTGTAATAGGCTAATACAATTTACAGGGTAGATTTGAGATGCACAAAATCACTTTCTCACAGAAAACTAGTTTGGCCCTACTAGGTCTTAAAACATACCTGTTGCATTGAATTTCTGCTAGAGATGAACAGTTTCTCGTTCTCAGGTCCAGATTCGCCCGTGGAACCTGAGTGACAGTGATTTCGTGATGGATGGCTCTCAGCCTCTTGACCCACGCAAGACCATTTTTGTGGGAGGCGTTCCACGACCTCTACGAGCAGGTGAATTTCTCATACAGTATCTCAGACTTTTGTTGTCCTCCCAAATATGTCATTAATGTAATCATATTCTGTATAATGCCGTGATCCTCCTCTGTGTGTGTTTAGTGGAGCTGGCTATGATCATGGACAGACTGTATGGAGGTGTGTGTTACGCCGGCATTGACACTGACCCAGAACTCAAATACCCTAAAGGTGCGGGCCGAGTGGCCTTCTCCAATCAGCAGAGCTACATCGCTGCCATCAGCGCCAGATTTGTCCAGCTGCAGCATAATGACATTGACAAACGGGTGAGTGAGCTGCAATGTTTGTCATTATACACGATGCAGAAGGCAGCCGATTTAATAGCAAAATTCTATTCATAACTCCTAATCAGGGTTATGAAAATAAATCTAAAACTATAGAAAGTACAATACATGAAATAAAATAATACTGAAATAAAGTAAAAAAATAAATAAGAAATATATGTATGTATGTTTGTGTGTGTATGTGTAAATTAAAAATTTAAAATTATAATTATATATATATATATATATATATATAATTAATTTTTACTCATTTTATTTGAGCCAGTTGGCAACATTTCTTATTTTCATTTAGTTTAAGTTGATGTACTAAAATATTAAAACTGAAACAAAAACTATTGATATTAAAAACAATAATTAAAATAACAAAAACACAATAAAATTACTCAAATTTGAACTAAAATGACAATAAAATGGAAAAAATATATAAAATGTAAATATAAAATAAAAATAACTACAAAAAAATATAAATATAAAATCAAAAATATAAAAATAAAAACTAATTCAAAATATTGATTAAAAACTATAGTGGTCTCTCAGTTATACTAAAATAACACTGGTCCTAGTGCACTGAACTTTATACAATGAAGCATTAAGCTACAGCGATACAGTCAGCAACACTTTATAATGTGACATTTTACTTGAAACGATTTGAACTTTGACGCCGCTTGACCTTTCAAAACACAGCCTGAGTTTACCAGACTGTTTGCATGAGATGCACTGAAGAGCAGTGGTGTCAAAGACTCTTTACAAACTGTAAATCGTGGGCCTCGTGGGCCATTTTAAACATTTGCAGAATGCTATGAATGCCGTATTAACTAGACGAGTCCTTTATACTGTTTATACTGTACTTTTATAACTGTAATTCTAGATGTGATTGCATAGTGGCAGTTTCTGTACCGTGGTTTTCCTGCAGGCCGTTTCCATACGGCCAACAATACAAACTGTGGAAACCCCAGAGCAGACTGTGTGTAATCAACATGACCATGGGCTTCTGGAGGCCTGACAGCCATTTGAAGTCTCAGACGTGGCGTTTGTTAATTATAGCTCCATGCTATTCCTGTGCGCATATGTACACACTGGACTTTTTTGGGAATGCTATTCAGAAGTAAATAGCTGATGGCCACTGGACTAAAACTAGATGCTCACCAGAATCACCCCTCCATCTACATGACACATCCTCAAATACTAGTTCATTTTGAGCTGTTAGTGTAAATGTGAATTTAGAAACTAAAGTCAGTAGTTGACATCCTCTACCACAGTGATTCAGTTAGCAAGGTTAGCAAGGTTTGATGGGTAAATGGAGAGATTTTAAGTTTGCTTTGTTAAACCTGTTAATTCTTCTAATTCTTCTAATCTAAATATATAAAACCAAAAAAATTATAATCTTAAATATTACATATATATATATTACTAAAATATGTAAACATTACAAACTATATAGAAAAGGATATATATATATATATATATAGTGCTGCCAAAATTAGCCTGTTAATGCAGGCGATTAATTTTTCTAGTTTAACGGCGTTAAAAATATTTAACGCAGGGGCGGAGCTAGGGTTGGCTTACAACCCACTCACAACTGCTGCTTCTATATTTCCTACTTGCTGAGGGGCACAGGAATGACATTTATTATAATGGGTTTATGTGAAGATTATTTTAAGTTCACTTAAATTAGAAGTTGTTATTTTGTTTGTTATTTTTTAGTCTAATAAATGTTAAAATTGATAGCTTTCAATTCTACTGTAATGTTAAAGTCAGCATAACATATAATGGTTAAATATTAGGGAAAAAAGAACAATTTCATAGAGACAACAGTAGTATTGGTACCAGCGACACTCACCTTCAGTCATAAAAAACAAAGATGCTATTAAACATCTTTTTAAAAATATGTTCTTTATCTTTTTTCTACATTTAATTTGAAGATTGAATGTAAAATTATAGAAATAAAAAAGTATATTTAATAGCTTTAATGTCAGGTGGGATTAATCATGATTAATCTAGATTAATTTCAGAAAAATATGTGATTAATTAGTTAATTTTTTTTCAATCGATTGACAGCACTTATAATATAAATGTATATATATAATATAAATACTATATATAATATATGATGATTAAAAAAATATAAATCGGTTTATATATTTATATATGTGCATTCAGTTTGTCTGTTTATCTATAAATATAATATAATACATGATTATACACACACACACACACACACACACACA